TGTGTATGACCCTTCCTATACAGGAATATGGCAGATCCTATGATTTCCTGTACTTGTTTTTTTTCTTTCTGAAAGGTGTTTTTCCAAGTTTGGGAAATGAAACAAGTCAAACGTTGAAAGCGCTGGCCAATATTGTTGGTGTGACAAAACATTAACCTTTTTTATCCCCAGAACTCCTTTATTCTTCATGGCTTGCGAGTTTGGACACTGTCATGAAGAAATTTAATGTAGTCTCCTTCCTCTCATAAACCTTTCACTTTTTTGCAAACATTTGCTTTCTAGACTCTTCCAGAAATTGAAATTAGTTCCCCAATAAGAATCTGAACAACAAGACCACAAATATTTAAGCAAATAGCATATAAAACTGTTTTGTGCTCTTGCAATTTGCTGTTTTGTCAAGTGTATCTCATTGTAAATTTGTTTTGAAGGTTTAAAGCAAAATGGATTCAAGTTTCATGATCTGTTTGAATTTCAGACAAACATGGTTAAGTACATTTTTAAATTTTTTTTTTGAATAATTGCTTAGATATTCTACACGCTGTCGTTTTCACTCATTTTTAAAAATATTGGGTTACCTTTGAGTATTAAACTTTTTTTTACAATCAAATCTTTTTTTAAAACAGTGTGAACTACCCCCGAAATGATGTCTATCAAATTTGCTATGTGTCTTAAAGTCAATCAAATATACTCAGTGACAATTTGTTGAATTTTCGCAAATATACATTGGTTGATGTATGAACTTGTCGCCAAGTACGGTACCCATTATTGATGTCCATTATATCAGATTTGTTCATTGAAATCCACCTGCTCATGTGTATAAAACAGGCACTGGTTACTGTAAAATTAACATATTTCAGTTAATATACGTAACATTGGGATTCTTAATAAGTTGTACAGCAACTTTAATGAAGCGTTTAATTTAACTCTACTTTACTGATTCTTGACTATTCATTTTAAATGCAGTGTCTCGAGTAGCCCTTGTTTTCCAGCTTCTGATAATGGAATTATGTGATGAAAAGTCACAAAAAATGTTATCAACTCAAAAAAGATTCAATTATCAGAGAAAGTCAAGCTGATGACATTATTTATTGAACGTCCCTCGTATTATAACTACACTGTAAGTGTATAGAATGGATCAGAGAATAGATCCATTCATATTCCAGATGCAGCGATACTGACAACATATTTCTTTTAGATACAAGTTTTCCATGGACTCTGAAAATTGAAATAAATAGCCCCAGAGAGGAATTCTCTTGACCTGAATGCCACCGGGCCTCAATTTGTGTAAATGTTCTTAAAAATTTTCATTTCGATATCGAAACGAATGAAAATCATTTTTTATCCTCACAGAATTTTATTTCATGATAAATTTTATCAAACTTTCTTAATAATTAGCAAATTATGCATTCCACTTTTAAAGTTTGATTGATTCCTCCTTGGCACCTGATCCCACTTCTGATGGTTTGGGGGTCCGTGTTCAAGTTGCCCTGCTCCTATTTTGTATCGTTTTATGGACTTTTGATGTTGAATACTGTTCGTTATCTACACATGTTTCATTTTATGTCAAACATGGCCAAATGGGTAACTTTTAACATGAATTTAAAAAAGACAAAAATATTGAAGCATCTTCATTAATAATTATATAATTATATATGTACAGGATACATCAAGAGAAGCAAAATTATTAATAAACATTTAAAGTAATAAATATTTTATTTTGAATCTTATTGAATTACCGTATACTGGGTCCTGAAGTACCTGACACACATTTTCCGACAAAACGGTCGCATCTTCGTTCCATTGAATTGATTGTAGTTCTGGGAATGGACCCGGGATCCGCGCCTGGTCATGTTGTACAATAACAATCTTCTTCCCGAGGTCCAAAGCTTGGGCCAATTCGTACAGGTGAATTTGTTGTTTAACGAACTCAGATGTTACTACTGCGATGAAAAATCTACTTTCAAGGATTTGACATCTCAAAGTCTGGTAATGAAGAACTTGTAAACCCGTGTTACTTGAAATTAAGACGTCATAGGGTCCATTCTTCAAACGATCCTTAATTCCATTAGCGAAATTAATGTCCTTATTGGTACAAGATATATAGCAACATCCGTCCATATTATATACAAAAGTGTGAAAACATTTATCAATGACCTATTTAAAAATATATATATAAACTTTCTACCATCACCAACATGTCCAATGCGTTGTTAATATTTTTATTCATTGAGTTCACTCGACTCATCTATCGATTGTTACCGGAAACGCTTTTAAGTATTATTAAATAAATTCACAAGTACACTCCTTCACAGTTTAAAAATAAATCCCTCGTTTTCATTGCGGTTTTTAAAAGCACGTGATTTCAAAATGCAAACAATGTGGGCGTTTAAATGTGTGCCCCATTAACCTTGATCATACAAAGCATTGAATATCACAACAGATAATATTCAGTAGTTCAATATAGTTTATCACATATCATAGATATACACATATAGTAAAGGTCCTAGACTTACACTTCTCCCGTTCAGAATCTGATAAATTTTGGGATAAATACATCTTTGTATCTTTAAAATTACAAACCTGCTCAAATTATGTAATTATAGAAATAACTTTTCCTTGAAAAAGAATTTACTTTCAGTCAATATGATTCAACAAAAAAAATTATCAATTTTGAGGTCGAAAGGTAAAAGACCAAAGTCAAAAATTGAAATATTGCATACTATTAAGGTAAAAATCTTTATTTTTTTCTTTCTTTCTCTGTCTGTATTTTTCAGAAGTTCCAAACTTTTCTTTCTTTTTTAGCTCACCTGAGCCAAAGGCTCAAGTGAGCTTTTCTGATCAAAATTTGTCCGTTGTCTGTCTTTGTACTTGTCGTCGTCGTCTTAAACTTTTTACATTTTCATCTTTTTCTCAAGAACCACTTTGCCAATTTCAACCAAACTTCCCAAAAAGTATCCTTGGGTAAAGGGGATTCAAGTTTGTTCAAATGAAGGGCCAGGCCCTTTTCCAAGGGGAGATAATTATGAAATAGAGAAAAATTAATGTCATTTTTAAAAAATCTTCTTCTCAAGAACCACTGGGCCAGGAAAGATGAAACTTAAGTGGAATCATCCTAAGGTAGTGTAGATTCAAGTTTGTTCAAATCATGACCCCCAGGGATAGGGTGGGGCCAAAATGGCCGATCAAATTTGGACATAGGAGTATATAGGAAATTTTTTTAAAAACTTCTTCTCAACCACTGGGCAAGGAAATATGAAACTCAGGTGGAAACATCCTCAGGTATTATAGATTCAAAATTCTTCAAATCATGACCCCCGGGGGTAGGGTGGGGCCACATTGACCGATCCGATCAAAGTTTTACATACAATGTAGGAATATATAGGAAAAATCTTTTAAAAATCTTCTTCTCAAGAACCACTTGGCCAGGAAAAATGAAACTCATTTGAAATTATCCTCAGGTAGTGTAAATTCAAGTTTGTTCAAATCATGACCCCTGGGGTAGGGTGGGGCCAAAATGGCCGATCAAAGTTTTACATAGGCATAGATAGGAAAAATCTTGTTCTCAAGAACCATTGAGACAGGAAAGATGAAACTCATTTTTATGGAATCATCCTCAGGTAGTGTAGATTCAATTTTGTTCAAATCATGACCCCCAGGGGTAGGGTGGGGCCAAAATGGCCGATCAAAGTTTTACATGGGAATATATAAGGAAAACTTTTGAAATCATACTCTCGAGTACTTCAAAGCCATGATTAGTGATCTTTATATGGAATCATCCTCAGGTAGTGTAAATTCTAGTTTTTTTTCAAATCATAACCCCCAGGGATAGGGTGGGGCCACAATGGGGATCCAAGTTTTACATTAAATATATTTACAAAATCTTCTTCTCATGAATAGCAAAGCCATGATTAGTGATACCAGTATTTATATGGAAGCATTCTTAGGTAGTGTAGAATTAAATTTGTTCATATCATAACCCCCAAGGGTAGGATGGGGCCACAATGGTGGATCAAAGTTATACATAGAAAAATGTAGGCAAAAATTCCAAGAACAGAAAAGCTATGCTTGTGTTGAAGATTTAAATTTGTTCAAATCATGGCTCTTTGGGGTAGGGAGGGAAACAATGGGTAATCAAATTCAAATTTTTATGAAGTAATATATATAGGAACAAATTGTTTGAAAAGAAATCTTTTTATCAAGAATAGCAAAGTCATATGCTGTATTGATATGATAGTATTAAAATTCAACCCCCCCCCCACCTCAGTAAACTTTCAGTTCTGATCTGTTATGTGCTTTTTCCTTTCCGATTTGCTCAGGTAAGCGATGTGGCCCCTGGGCCTCTTGTTTTTTTAAACAGGAGACACTGTAGTAGAGCCAGCGGAGCAGAGCGGCACTCAAGAATCACTTTACCTGGCGTCTGTCTGTCTGTCACATGCACCTTGTATCTCAAGAACTGTTAGAGATATGGATTTGATATTTTGCACATTTATTGCCTGGCACAATGGAATTTGTAAATTGCCACGGTTACCGACCTCGTGACACTTGAACTTGTCCTTTGACCAACTTTACTAGAAAGTTAAAAGTGCCAATATACAGCATATTTTTGGGATTTAAGGGGGTAATTCTATGCTATTTAGCATGTGCACTGATTGTCATAAAACATTATGAAAAAATAATTATCTATTTATAATGATTTCAACTTAATTATTCATTTGAGGGTTGGGAATCATATTTTTTTGATTGACAGACTCTATCACAGTCTTATAGTATGTGTAGATGTTTTTTGTGCATTTATGAACTATCATGCTTTTTCTTTTTTGCATGAAATACTGTATATGTACATGTATGCTAGTAGCATAAAAATAGCTGACCACTCTTAGATTTAGTTACATCTTCAAAGAAGATAAAAGCAGGCCACGCATGCGTCCCTGGAACACTCTAGTCTAAGACAGGAATAAATAGTTTTACTACAAAACAATATTTTCAACAAAGAAAACATCAAAGGTTGCAGCATTTAAAAGGCAAATGAAATTTGTAAGGTACATGTAATTCACTTGCTCAGATATTACGAATTTTCATTCCATTACTTTTCAAGTAACTTCTGTTTAATACTTTTTCCCCATATCTTATCTGTGATAAAAATTAATGAAACATATTGGCTAAGATAATATTTTTCTAGCAATGATACAATTTTGCATGTTAATACACTTTTTTCTTTGAAATTAAACATTCTCTTTGTATATATCAAGCATTATAAGATATTCTTTTTTGTTTGTAATAAGAAAACTTAAGTTTGGTACAACTTAACTGGATTGGATCAACTTTGCATATGCTTAATAGCATAACAGTTTACTTTTCTGTCCAACACAATCAACATAAAAGTGATTCTGAAAACTGAAAAGTCTCAAATCTCAGTTCTCACTACAAAAAAGGAAGATTTAGTGAACTACAATGTCGCTTTATCCATACATGTGTATATGAAATACATGTACTATAGAAACAATAATGCTTAGTCACAGATGTTTCAAGTACAGTTCAAAGAAGGTGTACGTGATATGGGGGTTCTCAGAAATAAACAATTTTTCAAACACGAATTTTTCTTGGATGTCATGTATGTGGAAAGAAAATATTTTTAAAGTCATTGTAATGTGATATTATGAAATCTATTTCTATATGTATTTATTCGTTTTTATTTATTTTTTTCATATCGTTTTGAGAAATATAGTCTTAAAATTTGATTAACTAAAAGTTCTATTGCGCATCTGGATTGAGTTGCCTGAGTAAAGTTTTATTCTTTGATTTCATTGGCTCTTTCATTTGAATGGTTATTTCCTATTTTATCGTCCAATAATACATTTTCATTATAAGTATAAATTTACCGCGCTTTACCTATGTATGTCAGAGCAGCATTTCGTTTTCAAGAAAGAAGTTAGTAAAATCCAGTGTCCATCATAGGCATCTTATGATCAATGCCTTTATTTCCTCAATAAATTATTAAACCAACATCTGCCTTACTGCTCAGTTACAGGAAGTATGGCAACCTGGCCAAAGAAATTTCCTTAGCAACTGACCAATTTTGTTTGTGATTTTCAACAATTTTGAAGGCTTTATACCAGATGTAAATAAAGTGATTTTTTTTTAAAAGAAATAAGAAGATTCATTTTTAACATGTTCTACCAATGTAACATAAAGAAACCACATGCTTAGATTTTTTTTTTTGCTAAGATGCAAAAATATACAAGTTTCCGATATTTTGATGATTCAGCAATTTTTCCTGAATTTTAGCAATATCAAATTCTTATAATCAGTTTCACCTTCTTAAAACATTTGATACATCTATTTCACATAAAAGCAAATGAAATCCTCTCTTAGAATTTGAAAAAAAAAATTGAGTAAATTTGAAAATTCCTATCCATTGCTTTTAAAAAATAATGGATAGCTAGATAAATTAAAACAAAGTGGTCTACTGTCATATGTGGACATTTGAAGCCGTCTGATGAGAATACGAGAAATTGTTGACCACTTTCCTTCAGTGATGTACATTTTTCACAGAATTCTTAAGGTAGGATTCTTCTCTGGTTTTTGACTGGATGAAACATTCAAAGTATATTTGCATATATGTCATATATTGAGGTGTAAGGAATTTAAAAGACCATATTTTTCTTTCCTCATCACAATTGTACAACTTTAAATAGAAATTGTAAACTGCGTTTGAAAACTAGCAGGGACTATATTTTTGGCAGAATGGTGGCGTATGAAAATATCTTCTTATCTACCTCTCAAAATTATAATAGAGCAATGAATTTAGTTATAATTTTTACACAATCGAAGAATTTTCAAATGTAAGTTAAATTAATAATGAGGGACTAAACTTTCAAAATATATCAAATAAATATGATTTTTCAAACAAACTAGAACTTTGTTAGCTTTTAAACGCTTCCTATCAAAGTGCAAATTTGAGCCAAAAAATCCATAAAAAGTATTTTTTCTCTCTTAGTAAACGATCAAAACTTTTTGTCTTTGTATCATTTTGTACATTTATAAGACTACTTTAAAATATGTGAAAATAAGAAAAAGTTAAATATAGGAAGCATATGAAAATAACTAATATATTCTAAAAAATTAAGAAAAACAGAAAATTCAGATTAGCCAATATCCAGTTAAGTTAAATCATTTATGTAAATTTGGTAATATCATGCTATAGACCCGATATAGTGATATGTTTTATGCAAAAAGAACAATCTTCAAACTTTGGAAATAGAAGTAGGTATTACATGATTGGCAACAGTATTTTTTTATTCTTAATGTCAAAGAAAAAGATAATGACCTTGACCTGACCTTGCCGCTAATATAAAACGGTCAAATTTAATTTCACTGATACTATCACTTACTGATATTGTCTTCTTGATTCTGTGAAAATTTCATTAATTTTTAAATATTAGAAATATGAGAAGAATCCTACCTTAATAATGGCACTTCTATACATAATACATATAATTCATGTAAAATCATAAAGGACAAGATGGCTGTACAATGAACATTAAATTATTATATAAGCTCAAAAGGTACATATTGTTCTATACACTCTTCATACTTTTACAATATCTTAAAATTGAAGTATGCTCAACTTAACTATAAAAATCAATTTAAAATGCACATCCATACATAAGAATTAGGCAAAACTTATAAAACACTGTGTTTGCACTGTTCATTTGAATCTCATTTTGTAAAAGTGAATTTAAAAAAAAAAAAAAAAAAAGTAATGTTGATCATACATTCTACAGATAACATAATTCACGATTTTATTACAAATATAATGTAGAATCATTTAAAATCGAGGAAGGTTGATGTTCTTGGGTAAGCATTTTTTGTTTTGTTTTGTGCATATGTAATTTTGTGGGAGCTTGTTTATTTGGTAGATTAAAAAAGTCAATACAGTGGACCTTCAGATATCCAGACATCAGATATCCGGATGTTTCAGTATCCTGATGATTTTTCATTTGAACGGAATTTTTAAACGTTATTTTGTCTTGTTTAACTGGTGATTCATGTATCCGGACCCTTCAGATATCTGGATAAATTGAATAGGAACCAAAGCGTCTGGATAAATGAGGCTTTACTGTACATTGACAAAATGTTTATTTGAGGGGGTAAGGTTACCCATGAAATCCACGAACATTAATCCCCCACAAAAACAATAATGATACCACAATAGCTTTCCTGTAGCCTTTAAGTAAAGGTATGTATATAAAAATTTTGGTGTAAAATGCCCTGATTTTTTTTTCATTTCATTTTTATGACAACCTTGTTTTTATATTGAAGAAATGATATGTTAACCTTTTTACTTGCCATTTGCAAGATATATTTTGTTCACATAGTTCAAAGATCTTATGGATATTTAGTCTTGCCTTTTCTTATCATACAATTTCTAATGTCCAAAGTATAAAAAAAAAATACATATGCATGATTTTTGGGTATATCTAACTTTCCATATATAAAGCCAAAAATGCATGTTATTTAAAAGGCCGTAATATACATGTATATATGTTAAAAAATAAAAAAACCATTGAGAATGATGAGATAATATATAGGATATACCATGTACAAGTTATACTGTGGATTCTTGTATATATTATAAAGAAGTCTTTAACAAAGAGCACAGAAATAAGACAGAGCCTCTGCCTTATCACTAAGTCAATGCCATGGCAGAATGCTGAAAATGAAGTTCTCTCTGAAAAAGTCTCAATCATAAGATTTCTCATATTGAAGACATTATGTCTCTGTTACAGAGTAATCTTCCTTTAATTTGCAGATTGATCTCCTTAAGAATTCTTAGAATAAAATTAATCTTCTATGGCCTGAGACATCCTCCTCGACAAGGGAAAAATGTGACCTCCTTTGAAAGATTGATGACAGATTGACCTCCCTTTGGTATGTCTTCAATACTGTGACATCATTTAAAAATATCCTGATGACAGAGTGATTTCCCTTTCATGTTCCGACACCCCACCCTAAGGTAGCCTCCTGTAGATAATGGTTGTTACTGATTTGTAACATTATCTCATCTTCTGTTGGTTCCTGAAGACTTTCTCTGCAACATTTAAAAAGTTTGGTGATTAAAAAATATTAGCACTTTAAAAAATAGGAATTTTATTTAAAGTTTGAAGTCGACAGGTTCATTAGTAACAATTAAAGAATCAAAGTGAAATTTCATTAAAACCCATCTTCAGAATGCTGAAAGAACTAAATTTTATGATTAGTGAAATCTACTCACCTGAACATATCATGTACAGACATAAAATGATGAGATTCCTCAAAGTCTGAATTTCCTCTGCTTCTTCTAGAGCCACTCTTGTCCCATTTCATTATGAAATTCTACAGTAGAGAAGAAAAATCAAATAAAAGACGCACACAAGAGAGAGCCTGCAATTGAAATTCAGATTATTTAAACAATCCCATGTAGTGAGTTCAACAAACATGAACATTGCATTTCAACAATTTCAAGAAAAGTCAGTAAATATACATTTTATCATGTTTACATCAAGGCATACATAAAAAAAGTATACCTACCTCAATGATAAGAGCAGTGAACAGTTGCATCACTATGACAACAGAAAACAACCACCAAACAATGAAATATAAATAGGACCACCTATAAATGAAAACAATTTTTAGAAATCATGATCATAATTTGTCCTAGAATCACTCTGAAAAAATCAAAATTGATACATGACAAAAAAATCCCACAATTATAAGCACATGCATTCATTCATGTGTACAGCAATCATTACATAAATGCTTACCAATAGGTGAAAGTAAAGGACACAACAATAATGAAATTCTTACTCTGTTTTGGCTTCAGCGTAAGCCTTTAGAAACACGCTCCAATTATTTACCACCATTATGTCCCATAGCACCACAAGGGAAGCCTGTAAAGCAGAATCACACTCAATTATCAACCACTTTCATGTCAAATAACACCACAAATTTACTTTAATTAAAAGCTTGTGAAGGTTCTAGATGAAGCCTATAGAGGAAATTGCCCAGTCAGCATTCATATATTGGCCCAACGTTGGTAGAGTAACGGTCTGTTGGTTCAAGGTTGGTGTTGGTATTACATGATTGGGCCAACATTGGGCCAATGTTAGACATTATGCTCTTGGTGGCAATATCAGCATATGTCAGTTATTCGTTGTTGGGCCAATGTTGGCCCAATGTATCTTAATCTCACATAAGATGTCGTGATAACATACATTGGTTTTACATTGTTGAGCCAACATTGGCCCAATGTATGTAATTTTCACAGAAATTACTACCTTAAACATTGGTTTTGTATCGTTGGACTTACGTTGGCCCAATATTGAATACTGAACATAATGAACATTATGCAGGTGTACAACGATTGGGCCAGCGTTGGCACAATGTTTCAAACTTAGCATAAAATGGTTGGTCTCGTGTAGATGGACCATTATTGGCCCAATGCAAATTTTTGTCAAAGATATACTGCAACAGCTGGGAGGATAATGTTACTAAAAGGTTTATCATTTATTAGTTATGAATCAGTATACAACTATACATTAAATATATCGTATAATATTAGTTTATAACATTAATTTTGTTATCTGGCTTTATCTTTGAGTGCTTTGCCTATACATTTTTAGTTGGACCAACTTTGGCCCACTATGTCAAATGTGTACTGCATAAAACATGTAAATATGTTTTTATGTGTTTATTTATTTATTGATTAAATGTTGTGGTACTAACGGTAAAAAAATTACATTTCCTTAACAGACACTAGTCAATCAGGTACATATCTCTATATTTTTATGCCAAGGTAGAAGGCTAACACAGCTGGTCCAACGTTGGCCCAACGTTTATATCAAGCAAGTGTTAAATACTATACCCAACGATTTTCTCTTTCTCTCCCTGTATCATGCACACAAATATATCATAATGTTGTGCAATTTTTGTATTAAATAAATCTTCATGGGTTTCATTGGATATCATTAACGTATTATATATCATACTGAGGGAAAATACATATGCATGTATATCTTGGCTATATGCACGAATTTATATTGTTGCAAATTAAAAAAAAATACTGTTTCCCTTGTGAAAGCCAAAAAGTAATACTGCATACAAACGTATCAATTTAAGAATTTTAAAAGAAATTCTTGGATGTGGGTCAAGAACATTGTAGAAGACACATTAAGTGTAAAGCAAATGTAGCATTGCAGCTGTACGTGCTATTCTGCTCTTTGAAAGATGTCACTCCCAGGAGGGCAATAAATTAAGTTTTTGAGTTAAATAGAGGTCAGCTTTCCTCGCGCGCAAGATGTAGAGAACAAAGACAAAGGACTGAATTTTGTTTGAGGATAGACGCAGTTAAAGCAAAATGTGTCATTGTGAGTATTTCTGATTTTTTTTTTTTTGTGCATGAGTATTTTAAAAGGAAATTTTCTATCAATGATAGTAAGATAGTGGAACAGATTTTGATCTACAATGTAGCATATTCGATCTGTACATGTATGCATATTCTTTTCATATTATATGTGATTTTTGGTTTAAATTTTTGTATGTGGGATAAATCTAAACCCTAGTCCTTTAAAATAGAAATGAGTAAAATATACACACTGTATATATAATAATTAACTCATTAAACAGTGTTAAAACGCTCCACGCTCCATTTTCGCACATGCATGGGGGAACTTGGGGAGGGGGCGATCCTTGTTGCATTTGATAGAGACACGTGCATATATGTATAATCTTTATAAGTGATATCATTATCATGTAAATCTATTTCCTTGTCTACAAACTTTGAATTATGGTGCTATAAATACTATAATATTAGTTCCCTTAGACCAGTATTCTGTACTTTCAATAAGGTCTCAGACAAAAAAGTCCTAAAAAATTGTGCAGCGATCTTGGGTCTTTCCGATACTAACCGGGAAAGTCCAAGAATGTGTGATTCCCAAATACATTTATAAATTCTTATTTCTGTGTCTGATACATTTTTAATTTTGTAAATAATTTTGTAAATAATCATATGACATTAAACCGACCCATTATAATCAGTACGAATATAAAAATACTTGAAGTATTTATTCAAGATCATTAAGCATTAAAATCACATGGTACTTTTTAGGTAAGAAAACTGAGAACGATTAGAGGTGACAATACGAAACAAAGTGTACGGAGAATTACGAGTTCCATGATAGACATCAGTGTTGCAAAGAAAATGAACTGGCTAGGGAGGGATGATAATTAAGAGAGCGTTTTCCTCTTTCTCATTGAAAGATGTGTTGCTGAGTGAGTATTTTTTTTTTACGTATCTTTAAAATATTATTTTATAAATACTCCCAAGATATACTGATCTTGGTTTGTTTGTTTGTATGTGTGTGGATCGACAACTTAGAAATTTCGTTAAACATGAAAAATATGTCTACATTGTGAAAGATCAGACATGTGTCAAGGGGTAATGCATCAAAGTCACATTTAAT